CTATCAGTTGGTTTTGCGCTTGTCGTCCATGAGACTATTATCACGAGTCAGTTCTTTAAGATCATCATATCCAAAGAGCCAATCAAAAGACTGGGTCATTTTTATAATATATATGTTAAATCAAGAAAACAATAAAACAATAATAAATTATTTTTAAAAGATTTGATTTAAATAATTTAACTCTCCAGGTGTTTTTGCTCTTTGAAATTGAAATAACACTAGGCCTATTGATTCTATGCCACTGTATTGTATTTCATTGTTTCTTCTGTTTATTCAGGACATAAAAATAGAACTGATGAAGTGTCACTTGAATAACAAAGACATTCACTTGTAATTGTGACATGACAGATTTCCACCTGTGTTACCATAAGAGCTGACCTAACCAGCTGAACCTGTGCTACACATGCTGCTGATAAATATAAATCCTGTGGGTGAGCCCCGCCCTCTGCGGCTCATGACGGACAGACCCTCTAGACTCCAGACAACACTCAGGCCTGTAACACCTGACCTCACCTTTTCTTTAGGTTAGGTTAGGTCGCTTTATTCGTACCCGTAGGTAAATTTGTTCTGCAGATTTGAGAGGCTGGTCCCACATTTCACATTTCATTCATTCACATTATGTGCAATAAACATGTATAAAAACACAATTACAAAATAAAGTGCTCCAGTGCAGAATGGTTTGTTCCATAAACAATTCGTTAAATTCATCCATCACGCTTGACTAAAATCACAATAAATATTAAATATATATAAAAACACAAAATCTTTAGATAAATAGATTACAGTTTATTCATAAGTACGATAGCAGCCAGAACAAAGCTCCTTTTAAAATGATTTGTTCTAGATCTTGGGACTAAAAGCCTCTGACCAAAGGGAAGCAGCTGAAACTCTGAATTTAGTGGATGTTGCACGTCTTTTAAAATACTCTGGGACGTCCTCTGGGACTGTCTCGAGTACAGGGAGTCCAGGCGGCTCTGAGGATGGACAATCACCTTACTGGCCCATTAAACCAACTGATTCAGGGAGTTCTTGTTTTTAGTAGACCAATGAAACCATTAAAATTTATTCCATAAACGTTTTATAGAACAGTGCCGTCACAGTTCTGTCTACATGGTAAAAGGACAAGCTTCTCAGACAATGAAGGAGCTGGTGGCCTCTTTTACACACAGCCGCACAATTATCGTCAAAGCTCAAAATTTGAATCAATGAGTGTTTTTTTCGCCTTTAATCCAACTAAAATATTGAGACGTGTCTTGTTTAACCACAGCCTGAGCTAACTTGTGCTCTTGCATCGCATCTAACTACGAGAATACAGTATAAAGTGGATTGTCAAATAATAGACCACCTTTATAGATACTGCTCCAAAGGTTACGCTATTATTTTTATGTTTATGGTTCAGTTAAATATTTGTGCAGCTGAAAACCAACAAAAACATTTGAAAACAAAATAAGCGCAAGGATGAAACCACATTTAGAACATTTGGAGCATTCTAGTCAGTTTTAGAGGATCAAAAACACATTCATCTTGTGTGTGTGTGCAGACCCCAGCACATCCACCTGTTTAATTTGCAGTGTAAAGTCATGGGAAATCATAACAACATCTGGGCCACCAAAAAATGTCCCGTTTTAACAATTAGAGGAAGAAAACAACACGAGCGTTTGGGCTGAATAAATAAGGGCCATCTGGAGAGGAGAGAGCCCATTAGTCACAGGCATCAAGGTGCACAGAGACAGTCTCACCTAAAGCACGCTACACTCTCAATCTCATCACAGCGTTTAAATAGATTAGTGGTCTGCTCAGGATAATGCTGCTTTCATGTGCTCTGCGTAAATTACCATGCAGTCGAAAGCGAAGTTAAATATCAGAAGAGCACTGGGGAAATAAGTGTATATGGCGCAATATCTTCTTGGGTTTGGAATCTGAAATAATTGAGGGAAAAAAGTGTAAATAATTGAAATTGTTTATTGTTTAGTTTTTATCATTTGTACCAAAATGATCATGCGATGCTGCTGTATCCTAGAATTTGTAGAAAGCAGTGGGCGTGTGCCAGCGTTGGCGAAAATAATGGTTGGCAAAAATGGCGTCTTGAAAATAGGCGATTAAAGATTACTCAGACATACACGAATCACTCCAAATACTTCAAGATGGTTAGGAATGAAGAAACCGTCACATGGTTAAAAGCTCTGAAAAGTAAATTTTGTGTAATAGGTCTGCTTTAAAGGTGCATCGTGTAATTTTTTTGGATAAAGAGCTCACAACCTGCTCGTTTCCGTGGAGATGTTATTGCTTTGCCTGGAAGGTTCCACAAACATGGCAACACCACCAGGTCAAGTTAACAGATCACATCACGAAAAGTCGAGATTTCAAAGCAAGAATTTTTTCAAGGTATTTTTTTAGCAATAAAATAACTACGGTATAAAAACGATACGTCTATTTCAATTGAGGCATTTAGGTGTTGGAGCTCCCTCTGCTGTCAGCAACAGGAATGAACAACCACGAAATAAACAAATGAAGCACTGAATACATGCAAATGCCAGGCTAGTAGAGTACTGTATTTTCCGGGCTATTAGACGCACTCTTAAGCCTCCAACCCCATCAAAAAAAGATTGCGCATCCCACAATCCAGAGCGCCCTATACAGGAATCCACTCCGGTGTCCCAGCACAACTTCAGTTCACCACCCGCAGCCCTCGCAAACACGCACGGAGCAGACAGCGACACTCATCACTCCACGCTGACGAGTAATGGAACGGAGGAACGAACCAAAAAAGCGAGAGCAATGTGCCACTTCTAGACACAACTGAACAACTGAATCACTGCGAACACGCCGACAATCCAGCGGATTGTTAATAATAATGTACCGGGAGAAACAACTATTAATGGTAAACATCATGAGTGTAACACAGGACTCTGGGGAATGACTAGAGGCTATCTACCACCTGGAGTATGAAATCAGTGTGTAATTGGGGGCTGTGTCAGCGGAAGCTTGTCAGTCATGAGATAACATGTGAACAATATGTAATGTAAGGAATGTAACCTATTGTGTGATAATTGTGTGATGCTCAATAAAAGGGCTGTGGAGAGAAGAGAGCTTCAGTTAGGATGAGACAGGTAGTTTCTCTTCTACTCCTTGGCCAAGTAAAAAGGAACCAATCTGTCTCTTTAATGATTAAAGGGATAGTTCGGATTTTTTGACATAAATCTGTATGTCATCCCCGTCATCAGTGTTGTGCATTCACACCGACTTACCCCCGAAAGCGTCCGGTGAGCCGAGATACTGGCCCGTTTTGGTGCTGAGGAAAGTAGTTCGGCAAGTTGTGTGGGGACTGTATACTAAAGCGGTTTTTCTTCTCAAAGCAATATGTGTTCAAAAGAGTGATACATTTGCATCACAAAACCATCGTCGCCAAAAAAAGTCAGATCTCATAATCGCTTGGTGCTATTTTCTCTCCGTACGTACCACTGCGCGCGGCCGCCAGGTGACAGCCGCGCACCGATCCATCACTTTCTTCAGTTGTTCGGCAGTGTTTACATGCACAGACCGCCGCCACGCGAGAGAGCTAACGAGAGAGCTAGAGCCATAAGTATATGAGCTTGTATAAGATACATATGAATATATCTAAAAAATGGTGCGAACTCTTGATTATCCAGGCTGTCCCACTGACGCATTGAAGTGTTGTGTTTAGTTTAAAGTCCAGTGCAGTTTATTTGTGAAAAAAGTTCGAAAATAGACCATTTAATGACAGTGCGCCTTGTAATCCAGAGCGCCTAATAGCCCAGAAAATAAGGTATTATATTTGTTTGTTTTCTTGTGGTATTTGAGTATTCCTGCTCCCATTGTTTCTTGTTTCTTTTGTGCATATGCAATCTGGTCTTCGAGCTCTGGACTCGGATTCGCAGGAGCAGAGATCGCCGGACGGAGGATGGGCGTTGGATCGCTCCTTGGATTGGCCAGACACCCTTCCGCCCCCACCAATCCACGGATGCCACCTGTGGGGCGCGGAGTATAAAAAGGACATTTTTCCTTCTGCTCGGTACAACTGGACACCTGCGTTCCAGCTCGCCATTTTATTGGGTTATTTTCTTTTTCGGTTGTGTCTCATTTTTCATTAATTATGCCAACCGATGCCTTTGTAAATTCCTTTTGTTTGAGACACCTTGCTTGTTGGTAGTACAACTTTAGTTAGGTTCTTTTTTACGTTATACTTAGTTAGGGCTCTACAGTTTCGTAATTAATTTTTGTTTAACTCTTTTATTTCACCACAACCTTTCTTTGTTTTTTTTCTCCAAACACTGTAAATTCATAAATTCACAATTTTTAATTCAACCTTTAACATCTTTTTTTTTTTTTTTTATTGTTACTTTCCTTCTCCCCTAGCAAAGGGAATGTAACAGTTGTACACACAGTTTGTCCAGTCTTAAAAACTGCATAGAAGAATATCAGATTTTTACCTGTGACACAACAATCCAGGCAAAACGCAAACATTTTTTATCACTTTGAAAGCAAAATACAACTCTGGATATGTTTTTGCTGAGGGGATAACAATACAAAATGGCTAAAAGTCCAAAAAAGTCAATTTTCTATAATGTGTGTTCTTTAATGATGTATTACTCATGTGTTGTTTTTCAGCATATTTAAGGTGCGTTGTGCAACTTTTCCATCACCTGCTTGTCTTCATGGAGATGTTAATGTTTTGTCTAGAATGTTTGATCTCAAGGGAAACATCATCCTCATCAAAAACAGACCTGGTGTTTTGTTTCATTCACACATGTTTAATACAATGTTCAATACTCTGTCTGAGTTCTTCTCTCAAACAAAAAACACCTTCACTGGAATCATTTGTATAATTTCTGCCATGGAATTGTCAATCTCTACTGAACTAAAGGTAAAAGGAGCTTAACTTGATGTAGACGGACTAATAATAAGGAATTACTCAAACATTTGTGAATGAAACAAAACACAACTCCTAAAAACACAACTTCTAAATGGCTCTAAAATTGGTATCAAATCCATTCCAGGTCCAGGTGTCCTCTTCCTCAGTTGCTCCTGTTCGCTAATAGCCCTCTCTTGTTGATGGAAAAGCGGGCGCCTGACACTCTCCAGTCTCCTCGCTACATCACAGACAGTATCCTCCAGTGTCATCCGCGCGCCGCCTGATAAACTGCAGGTGCTGAGTGCATTAGCGCTCGCTCCGGTCAGGCCTCTGTCACGCTTAATCCAGACTCCACAATGACGAGCTGATGAGAGAGAGCCAGGTGCTGCGCTGCATTTGGCCCATTCTCCAGCGCACCAGAGCTCTCCGGAGGGACATAATGGACCTGCATTGAGCCCCAGAAGGTGGACCGAGGTCAGGCTGACCCCAGGCTGACCATCGTTACTGGATATTGAAGGTTCTGTAAAAAAAAAAAAAAAAAAATGAATGAATGGAAGGAACAGGGAGAAACAGTGATGGGTCATTTTGTACTTTAAAAGGTCAATATTACGTAAAATGGATTTTTCTTCTTGTTATAATACTGTTACCTCCTCAAAAACAGACCTGAAGTTGTTTTGTTTCATTCACACATGTTTGAGTAACCTTTTGTTATTAGTCTGTCGACATCTCCAAAGCTCAAAATGCTCTGTTCCACCTTGTGATGTCATGAAGCGGTAGTTTTCAAAGCAACAGCCACTCTTTACCTTTCATTCAGTAAAGACTGGCAATAGAGCCCTGCACTGTCGGACTTGCGGGACCAGTAACAAAACAGTGTGGCGCTGGACACATTTTGAAAGCTCATTGCGGGCATTTGCGGGAGCAGGAATGATAAACTGGAGTCCCGCAAACTAAATATGAGTGTAAAGTAAAATAAACAAATGAATAATGTAAACCTATCATACATCATTTGTGCTGGATATTTTATTTGGCATTAATAAAAACATTTTAAGCAGCCTAAACTTGCGGATGTGGTCTAATCTCGGGCACATTTTAGACAATTCCTTTCCGCTTCTCCGTGTTCGGCAGAGCTTAAGAAAGCGAACGTCCCCATCTTGCGGGATTTGTGGGTGGGAGTGGGAAAAAATATCGCAGATGCAGGTGAAAGCGAGAATGAAAATTACAATTCTTTGCGGGTGCAAGCGGGAGCAGGACTGGACAATGCAGGTGTGGGCAGGAGCGGAACTAAAAATTCTGTCCTGTGCAGATCTCTAACTGACAATTCCAGGGCCAAAATTATCTAAATGATTCTAGTGAAGGTGTATGGAGTTTAAAAACACATTGGAGCACTTATTGTAGTACCACATGACATCACAAGGTGGAACAGAGTGTTTTCAGTTTGAGAAAATAACTCAGCCTAAATATGTAGGGTTAGTGTGTTAAACATGAATGAAACAAAACACAACTCCAGGTATGTTTGCAGTGAGAAAACATAATATAAATCAGAAAATAGGGTAACACGGGCCTTTTAATGCGAGTCAGTTCATTAAGATTTGTTCACATCCAAGAGAGAATCAAAAAACTGTGTTGTATTATCATGAATTTATAATTAAGAAGTCAGGATAATAATTCATTTTATCAAAGGAAAAAGGCACAGAGTGAGAGAAACAATCAGGGCTTAGATTCGCCCAAATCTAAAGCGGGGCAAGTGCTTATGTTCTTTAAAGGTGCATTGTGTAACTTTTCTGGTGGAGGATCCATCATCTACTTGTTTCTATGGAGATATCATTGCTCTGCCTGGAATGTTCCACGGTGTGACATTAAACAGCTCTACCTCACATTTATTCAATTACAGGTGGTTTTATAGCTCGAAAATACCGAGAAAAAAACAGGCATTCTGACTGTGAGCGGAGTCGCCTCTCCACAGATCTGACCTGTAACTTGGTCTGGTTTAGTCTCCATGATGATCGAAATATTTAATACCATACTGCGACACATCCAGACAAAGCAATAACATTTGCATGGAGAAAAGCAAAGTTACACAATGTACTTTTAAAATCGAAATAATACGACTGTGACTATGCGAATTTTGTACTTTGTTTTGCTGTCTGTAGTGTTCATTCAATATATACAAATAGACATCTGGAAATGTCATTCGGAACGACATTGAAGTTCACTCAATAATGAATCATCAGAAGAAGTGAAGTACATTTACAAGAACAACTTAAAAAAATAGTTCATGTTATATTTTTCTTTCAATATAAAACTAGGCCTCTCCCAAGATAGAGTAATAGTACCTTATTTTCCGGGCTATTATTCGCTCTGGATTATAAAACGCACTGTCATTAAATGGTCTATTTTCAAACTTTTTTCACAAATAAATCACACCGGACTTTAAACGAAACACAGCAGTTGGATGGGTCAGTTGGACTTTGTTTGGTGAGTTCACGGTGACTCTGGGCTTTGTTCAGTTGTGGTGTGTAGGCAGATTACATGTACTGGAGTTACATAATCAGAGTACAAATTATGAGTAACGGTTTCAGTGAGTGATAATTGGATTACAGTTACTTTGTTGAAATGAATGGATTACACAGCGGTATTTTCCTGTTTTCACATTTTGAGCTATATTATTATTAAACTATTAAACTACTCATTCCCAGAAACTAAACCAGGTCTAAACTAGATCTCAACCAGGTCTAAACCAGGTCTAAATCCAGGACTAAAACAGGACTAAAAGCAGGTCTAATCTAGATCTAAACAAGATCTAAACCAGGTCTAACCCAGGTCTAAAACTGGTCTAAAACCAGGACTAAACCAGGTCAAAAACAGGATTTAACAGGACTAAACCATGCTGCGTGGACCGTGTCTCCTCCTCTTCTATCAATAATATTTTTACTATGTTTAAGTAAAGTCTGATCTTTTTATTTTCTTTTATCAGACAAAACGTCTTATGTTACGATTTCCTCGTCTTTGCTTCTCTACAGCAAACCAACTAATCTAAAGTATTCAGATTACGTTACTCACTTTAAGTAATTTAATAGATTACGTTACAAACGACATTTTGGGGTATGTAATCTGTAATCTGTAGGGGAATACATTTTAAAAGTAACCTTCCCAACACTGCTTGTAGGGAGGGTGCTGTCTGGGACCGCTGGATTGTCGGCGTGTTCGCTGTGACTCAGTTGTTCAGTTGTGGCTAGAAGTGGCACATTGCACTCGCTTTTTCGGTTCTTTCCTCCATTCCATTCCTCGTCGGCGTGTCTGCGGATTTTTTCACTTGCGCGGTCGCTGTCTGCTCCGTTTGTGTTTGCATGCGCTGCACATGATGCGGCTTTGTAGTTTACTGAAGTCGTGCTGGGATACCTGAGTGGATTCGTGTTTAGGGCGCTCTGGATTACGGGGCGCACGGCTGTTTTTTCGACGGAGTTGGAGGCTAAAGAGTGCACCTAATAGCCCGGAAAATACAGTAATTTATAGAAAACCCACAGCAAAAAGGTTCTGGGTTCGATTCCCTGGCCTTTCTGTGTGGAGTTTGCATGTTCTCCTCGTGTTTCGGTGGGTTTCCTCTGGGTTCACATCTTCCAGCTAAGGTAGTCCTGATTGAGAATGCAGAGGACAAATTCCCCTCTGGAAGTAATAAAATGTATAAAAATAGACAGACTTTAATCATTCTTTTCTAATTATCTTGTTGGAATAATGCATTTACATTAACAGCAAAAGTCGCATTGCGGTGGGAAAAAAAGTGTTTTTAAATCTTACCTTATAAACTACGAGTGATGTGCAGGGTTTTTGTTTCAGTTCTCAAGGCAATGTTCCAACATAAAAGCACAATGACTTCTTTGTTTTGGCTTGCCGTTGCCATGACTAAAACGTGTTTGCCAAAAAAAACACAAACCAAAAGGGCTCTGATTGTCATGATGTGTCCTCAGTATGTGGCAGCTCCGTGTGATTGGACTTGTTCGACTAGTTCATGTGGCAGCGATCCAGTGTATTTCCAACTACAAATGTTGTAGAATAAACTGAAGTAAGAGGAAGAGTTGTACGAAGAGAGGAGTTCTAACGCAGGAGAAGTTTATTTACTATCTGTAGTGGACCCAGAGACATGAACAGCAGAGAAATCACCAGAAGAGAAAAAACAGAAATGCAACAAAGTGTGTATCATGTCTGTGTTAGTATTATTGTACCTTTGCATCTTGTGTGGAAGAACTTTTATGCAGCTTAGTCACCTTTACTAACTTTTATTGTTATAGCTTATTAATTTTACAATGAATGTTTATAATATTATGTTTTTTATATGGCCATTGTCAGCATTTTTACACCTTGCCCAGGGACTACAGTTGAGCTTTGCAGCTACCTAACTGGTGCATTTACATCTGATGAAATAGGCCAAGATAACAAGAGCTGACAAACAAAAATGCAGTTTCTCTGTTGGGTATATACACCTTTACTTATATCACAACATTATATGCTGAGATTATACAACTTTCAGCTTTCAAATTTATTATTGTTCCAGAATGAAATGGTTGTGCAGCAGTGTGATACTCTATGCATACAATATAATTCAATAATACACTAAACCACAGCTTAAGCATAGCTCAACGAGGCCGACATGCATTCCCTTTAAAATCGTCAAAAACAAAAACAAAACAAACAAAAAAGGAGATATAACTGCATTTCACCTGATTCCAGGCTATAACAAAGCATTCATCATAGTTATGGCATCACAAATAAAAGACGTCTGAGCTCTCTGAGTTCTGATCCAGGACATTCTCAAACGCCGCCCAGAAGGAAGGAGATTAATTATTACATTATTTGTTGGGCCTTGCAAATCACCCTTTTGTTGTAGATACGCGTGCCACATATTTCAGTTTAACTTATGTCAAACTCAGGCCTGGGGGCCAAATTTGGCTGCGATATAATTATATTTAGCCCGTGAGATTATATCAAATATGTATTAGAGCTGGTCCACTGGCTACAGAGAGCCTATAGAGACATTATTTATTTAAAATTTTGTTATTACTTTATATTATGCTTCTTCTGGATCAAATGTTTAAGCAAAACTATTATTAAACATTTATTTTAATAAGAAAAGATTTAACATTACATATCTCCAAAGAAAAGAAAACATGCAGATTTTGTTGAAATTTTTCAATAAATATTTAGTTTGACCCACGACTTAGTCCCAGTTTTTAATTTTGACCTTCTGTGAATTTGAGTTGGACACCCCTGACTTAGAGTAACATTGCCAATATTTCACAGGAAGTCCAGGAAATTCCGACACATTCCAGGGGGAATCCTTGAAACTGTGTACTCTGCCAAGGTCAGCATAATGACAATCATAAAAAATACTTGGAAAACATGGTTAAAACTGGTAGAACATGCTTATGTATCTGCCAGATAAAAATCTGATAAAAAAAAAAAAAATCACATCTACATCAAATGTATGGCATGTTTTTTCATTGCTTCATGAGTGTTTTATTTATA